CGACGAGATCAGCTACGTGCGACTGTTCCTCTACGAGCTCGAATGCGGCCACGTGGACTATACACACAAGCAGGCCGTGAACGACGCCATCTCAACCTACCTTGGAGTCCTGGCCACAAACGGGAAGTCCGGGTACGACGCCATCGAGCAGAGTGAGTCTGCTGGACTGGGTCTTCGAGATAAGAGGACCAGTATCGAGAGCCTGGGCATCAGGCAGCAGAAGCAGCAGACAGGGCTCCATATTCGCTGGGTTCACAACGATGCTATGCTAGCCGACGGCCTCACGGCCTCACGAAGGACCGCGCGGCCAAGGCCATACTGGAGATCTTCAGAAGCGGACAACGCTGGGGGCTAGTGGATAATCCTCTCCATCGGTCAGCCCGCAAGCGCAAGTCCGAGGGCATCGACAAGCTGGATCACGGCAGCCCGCTGGATCCCGACACCGCCCTGGAAGCCCTGGTGTACTTCTCACGTGACGACGAGTCCCAGCAGGCTGAACCTGCCGGACATGAGGCCCTCTGGGGCCGGGTGAGCCCCACCACACGCTCTGTGCTTTCTGTGAGTTCAGGAGGTAAGACCAGGCTCCCATGCCGTAACATCGAACTGTAACATTTGGGCATGCAAGTCACAAGCCCAGAGCCTACCTCACTGTGCCTACTTACGACAGATGGCCCATCGAGGCCGAGTTTAAGACACGTCTCTAAGGAGCCTAACACATAGTATCCATATTACGTAAGTCCGCGTTCCCTGGCGTAGCAGGTTCTTTTTTATATCTCTGTTTGTAGCCTAGCCATGCTTACTGGTCTCCCCAAGGTGCCCTAGAGAGCCCCAAGCCCGAGAGGCATTCTGTTTAAGTGTTTCACACGGTTCCCAAGACGTTTCATCCGAAACCGTCTTGGCTCAAGCTTTTTGTATAGCAGCGAGAGGCTGCTAGACTACTGACTTTCGGTCTGAGCCGCAGCACAGCGAACTGGCCCGCTGACAAAAGGTTCCTGTGCCGGGTCATCGCGTGTCCAGCGACGCACTTCCCCACTGCCCCGCACATCCACAAAGCCAATCAGGAGATCGAGGATATTAGCATTCAGAGGAGTAAAGAAGAACTTATCGAAGAGAAGTGGTTCGAGGCGGGATCATTGCAAAGAGGGGACGGGTCGGGCGGGCGGGACATTAAAATGTGAGGCGCGCTCGACGGAGCACGCGCGAACCATACAGGGCGGGTCGGGTGGGCGAGCGGACCTTAGCGGGCGGGTCGGGTCGGGTCGGGTCGGGCGGACCCTAACGTGCGGGTCGGGTCGGGCGGGCGGGACATTAACGTGTGGGGCGCGATCGACCGAGCACGCGCGAACCCTAACGGGCGGGTCGGGTCGGGCGGGCGGACCCTAGCGGGCGGGTCGGGTCGGGACGGGCGGGCGGACCGTAACGGGCGGATCGGGTCGGGCGGGCGGGACAAGAAAATATGGGGAACGCTCGACCGAGCACGCGGGAGCCCTAACGGGCGGGTCCAGTCGGGCGGGCGGACCCTAGCGGGCGGGTCGAGTCAAGTCGGGCGGGCGGGCCCTGACGGGCGGGTCTGGTCGGGTCGGGCGGGCGGGACATTCAAACGTGGTGGCGCTCAATCCGGAGCACGCGCGAGCCGTAACGGGCGGGTCGGGTCGGGCGGGCGGACCCTGGCAGGCGGGTCGGGTCTGGTCGGGCGGGCGGAGTCTGACGGGCGGGTCGGGTCGGCAGGGCGGGACAAGAAAATGTGGTGCGCGCTCGTCCGAGAACGCGCAAGCCTTAGCGGGCGGGTCGGGTTGGGTCGGGCGGACCCTAGCGGTCGGGTCGGGTCGGGTCGGGCTGAAGGGTCCGGTCGGGCGGGTCGGGTCGGGCGGGCGAACGGGACATTAAAGTGTGGGCGTGCTCGACCGAGCACGCGCGAACCCTAACGGGCGGGTTGGGTCGGGCGGGCGGATGAGGGGCGGGTCGGGTAGTGTCGGGCGGGCGGACCCTAAAGGGCGGGTCGGGTCGGGCGGGTGGTGACATGAAAATGTGAGGCGCGCTCGACCGAGCACGCGCGAACCGTAACGGGCGTGTCGGGTCGGGCGGGCGGACCCTAGCGGGTCGGGTCGGGTCGCGCGGGCGGACCCTAACGTTCGGGTCGGGTCGGGTCGGACGATATTAAAATGTGGTGCGCGCTCGACCGAGCACGCGCGAACACTAACGGGCAGGTCAAATCGAGCGGGCGGACCCTAGCAGGCGGGTCGGGGCGGGACGGGATGGCGGACCTGATGGGCGGGTCGGGTCGGGCGGGCGGGACAAGAAAGTGTGGGGAACGCTCGACCGAGCGCGCGCGAGCCCTAACGGGCGGGTCCGGTCGGGCGGGCGGACCCTAGCGGGCGGGTCGGGTCGGGACGGGCGGGCGGACCGTAACGGGCGGATCGGGTCGGGTCAGGCGGGCGGGACATTCAAGTGTGGTGCGCGCTCAATCTGGAGCACGCGCGAGCCGTAACGTGCGGCTCGGGTCGGGCAGGCACACCCTAGCGGGCGGGTCGGGTCGGGTCGGGTCGTGTCGGGCGGGCAGACCCTGGCGGGCGGGTCTGGTCGGGCGTGCGGGCGGGACATCAAAACATGGCGCGCGCTCGACGGAGCACGCGCGAACCGTAACGGGCGGGTCGGGTCGGGCGGGCGGACCCTGACGGGCGGGTCGGGTCGGGCCGGGCGAACGGACCCTGACGGGCGGGTCCGGTCGGGCGGGCAGGACATTAAAGTGTGGGGCGCGCTCGACCGAGCACGCGCGAACCCGAACGGGCGGGTCGTGTCGGGAGGGGGGAACATTAAAGTGTGGGCGTGCTCGACCGAGCACGCGCGAACCCTAACGGGCGGGTCGGGTCGGGCGGGCGGACCCTAGCGGGCGGGTCGGGTCGGGTCGGGCGGGGACCCTAACGTGCGGGTCGGGTCGGGCGGGCGGGACATTAACGTGTGTGGGGCGCGATCGACCGAGCACGCGCGAACCCTAACGGGCGGGTCGGGTCGGGCGGGCGGACCCTAGCGGGCGGGTCGGGTCGGGTCGGGCGGGGACCCTCACGGGCGGGTCGGGTCGGGCGGGCGGGACATCAACGTGTGGGGCGCGATCGACCGAGCACGCGCGAACCCTAACGGGCGGATCGGGTCGGGCGGTTGGACCCTAATTAGCCGGCTGGTTGGGTCGGGCAGTTTCGCCGACGGCAGCTGGTTTCGCCGACGGCGGTTGGTTTTGCCGACGGCACTTCGTTTCGCCGACGGAGCTGGTTTCGCCGACGGAGCTGGTTTCGCTGGGCGGCGAAACCAGCCAGGCAAGACCAGCCGGGCGAAACCAGCTAGGCGAAAACCAGCCGTCGGGGAAACCAGCGGTCGCCTCGCCCACTGTCGCCGCCGTCCGTCGCCGCCGCTTGCGCCACGTCGCTTTGCAGTGCTTTGCATTGCTTTGCGTTGCATCGCATTTGTTCGCGATGCTTTGAACTGATTCGCATCGCATTGCATTGGTTTGATTTGGTTCGAATTTATTTGCATTGGCATGCAATACGTTGCACTGGCTTGCGCTGCTGTGCGTTACTTTGATTTGCTCTGGATTGCGTTACATTACATGACATTGCTTTGCCTTGCTGTGCATTGCGATGCATTGATTTGCATTGCTGCGCATCGACTTGCATTGCGTTTGATCTCTTCGCATTGCCATGCATTGTTTTGCGCCACATAGACTGCACCATATGGACTGCGCAACCTAGGTTGCACCACATTGATTCAACTGAATGCGAAAGTTTTCTTATTCGGCGTTTCGACATTGGGCGGAAAGGGGGGGGAAGGGGGCGGGTCCGGCTCTGGACCTCCGCTTACCGCGACTGTTTGCAGCAGTGCATCCTAGGGGGGAGACCCCGCCTGCTCGAGACAGGCGCCCAAAGCAGCCAAGATCCGCGCCGATCGGTAAAACAATGATTAAGACAACGACGACATTTGGGCCACATAGATTGACATAAATCACTGTTTGGGGTCCACGCTGGCTGACCTTCAAATATGGAGCCCAGTGAACAGGTATGATGCGGGCCACATGCAAGCACCCTCACGCGCGCATGTCGAAACCAGTCCGGAGCACAATACTCGAACACTTCCAATACATTCCAGCACAGCGGATTTCAAACACTCCCGAATCAAACACAACTGCGAATTCCACGCGACGTTGCAAGAGTTCTGCGCAACAACCGGTGGTGGGTCTTTCTGGCTAGCGATACCGCGCGGGTCACACGCGCGCGCGCATGTCGAACAGCTTCAACAACCATCGCGCACCCGCCAGCTAGTTCAAACCAAACAGTGCGGGCCACGCGCGCACCTCGGCGCGCACGTCGAAATCTCTCCAGTCATAAGCTTATGCGCATTACAGCAGAGAGGGGTTCAAACGCATTCGGCAACCCAACCTTTGTTGATAAGCTAGCTATGCGTCAGGAGCTCTGAATCCTATGCGCGCGCGCTTCCTCATCACCCGCATCATGATCATCATCATCATCATCATCATCATCATCAACATCATCATCATCATCATCATCATCACCATCACCATCACCATCACCATCACCATCATCATCATCATCATCATCATCATCATCATCATCATCATCATCATCATCAGTTTCATCATCAGCATCATCATCATCCTCGTCATCGTCACCGTCGTCGTCGTTGATGTCGTCGCCCTCGTCATCGTCGCCACCGCTGGGTTCGCCGGCGCCAGGCCAATGGGCTTGCCGATGGGTTTGCTGGATCGGCTTACGGCAAGTTCGTGCCGTGTCGACCCCGGCACTGTCTCCTGACACCGCGGGGATCGTTCAAACTTGAATGGTCGGCCGTTCCGTGAACGCCTGATCGTTCAACGACGGGCCGATTCTGGACCACGGGCGGCGTTCAACCTTAAACGCACGCGCTGGGGCCGCGGCCGGTCGGCACGACGCGAACCTGCCGTACCGACCAGTGCGGGCGGCCGGCCAGCGGGCCTTGAGGGCCCGCAGCTGGTCCCTGTCCACCGCCTCGGAGAGGCTGAGCGCCCACGTGTACCGGGAAAGCTCACCCTGGTACTCCTGGCGGGAGGCGCGCGGCCGGAGCCCTCCTCCTCCTCCTCCTCCTCCTCCTCCTCCTCCTCCTCCTCCTCCTCCTCTTCCTCCTCCTCCTCCTCCTCCTCCTCCTCCTCTATCCTCCTCCTACTCCTCCTCTTCCTCCTCCTTCTCCTCCGCCTCTCCGATTCTCCTCCTTTTATACGCTGCTCGGACTTTGGTCGGATGATCGCAGCGTCCAGCCTCATCATCCTGTTCTCTCTCCTCCACCTCCTCCTCGTCATCATCATGATCATCATCATAATCGACATCCTCATCCTCATCCTCATCCTCATCCTCATCATCATCATCATCATCATCATCATCATCATCATCATCATCATCATCATCATCAGCATCAGCATCAGCATCAGCATCAGCATCATCATCATCATCATCATCATCATCATCGTCGTCCTCCACCGTTTCGTCGTCGTTTTCCGCCTACAGAGGTGCTCAACGATTTTGCTCGATTGGTGTTGCCGATGCCATGGTCAATGCTCGAGCTCCTGCGTACATGCTGCCGCCAGCGATGTACAACATCAGCACCATCCCCAATGTAACCGACTTGATCGTACTCTTCATTGCCATCGTCGTAGTCGTCGTGTCCACGCAGATCTTGATCGTTATCGCAACCGTGGCCATCGTCGCCGTGAACCTCCTGTTCATCACCGTTATCATCGCCACCACCACGTGATCAACATTGGCATTCACCACTCTCAGCTTCACCAACATCGTGACCACCATCATCATCAGCAGCATCATCATCATCATCATCATCATCATCATCATCATCATCATCATCATCATCATCATCTTCATCCTCATCATCATCACCATAATCATCAATATCAGCATCATCATCATCATCAGCAGCATCAGCATCACCATCATCACACATGGAATGATCAAACGTGGCATGTGCGTCAACATCGACGCGGCCGTTAGAATTGACTACGGCCGTGGCTACTAGACCACCCCATGACATAGAGGGCCTAGCGAGCCCCAATAGCAGGACGATGCAAGCGTATGAACAGGATGGTAAGGACCGATCGATGTACGAATATCATCAGACATGCCGAACACAGAACGTAGGATGCTCTGATAGGACTGCATTCCAGAGTGTTACGAAACAACGGCTCACAACATACAGCTCCCCTATGTCGGTATGGACGTGGTGCTGCGAAGCGCTGAACATACTCTTCGCTTAGTATGACGATGACCCCATTGGCTTTAAGTAGCTGGCTCAACCATCGCTGAAACCACGATTTGTCAGCCACACTTGCGTTCAGGAGCTCGCACATTTGAAAACCCACCAGCTTATTCTGGACCATGTCACGGACCTGGTTGAGGAACATTGCATCGCATGATGCAAAAGTGTTTTGCAGGACGACTGGACCAGAGCTGCTCTGGCCACGCAGGGGCGAGGTCTCACTGGTCGCCATGCGCGGCTGGGGCCAACGCAGGGTCCGTTCGATCCGAGGGTGGTGGAGCCCAGAATGGGCGTCAGCCAGAATGGCCACGGATGGTGACGCTGGGAGGCATGCTGACTAAAGATGATGGGCAACACGATGGGGATGACAACTCTCCCACGGAAGAGTGGAAAACATGGGTGTCGTTTTTTTTGTCAAAAAAAGATCGGTGTCGGTGCATAGTTGCCACCGTTCAACCGGAAGCCCCAAAGCGACCCAATACGTCCAAACAGACAGAGATCCGACGGCACCTACACTTGTTCCTGACGTGAGCCCCCAGACCTCTCCAGTGCCTCTCGGGGACCAGCTTTTCATACTGATTTGACGTCTGCGGCCCGAAAAAATCACCCGAGAGCCCGACACTTGGAAGAAACGCTCCACCACAAGAGAGCCCAGAATCGAATCGATAAGTTGGATCGGCGACCGAAATGAATCGGATCGGCGGACATCGGCAGCCAGGTCGGGAGACGTCGAATCGGCGGAGATCAGCGGGTTGTAAGGCTTCCAGCGAGAAATCGAGACCCAAATCGGAATCCGATGTCGAATCGACTTGGAATCGGAGCCATCGAAATCGCATCGCATCGAGTCGGAGGAGTCGAAATGAGCCCCGCACGGGAGCCTCAGCTTCTTGCGCATCTCCTGGAAGTCTCCCCGGGGGGTCCCCAGGAGGCTTCCCCCGAAGCCTCCGCGGCGCCCCTGGAGGGCCCCCGCCCGCCACCCGGGAGGCCACCTCCCGCGGAGGCCTCCAGAAGCAAGCAAGGAGAAGCACCAGATGCGCACAAAAGCGTCCGGAACACATCGCCGAACATGGCGCGGGCTTCCGGAGCCTGGTGCATCTGCTGGTGCACTCCAAATCTCAGCATTGCTCCCCTGGCGACGCGCTTCGAACCTGAGGCCCCCCTCTCCCTCTGGGCCAGGGAAGGGAAGTGGTGGCCCCAAAGCCTGCTCCCGAGGTTCTGCGGGCTTCTGCAGCTTCTGCCCCCCCCCCCTCCCGCCGTGCAACCGGCAGCCTCAAGGACAAAAAAAAAGAGCATGGAACAAAATTCCCCAGGCCCCGAATGCCCGCATTCCCCCCCCCCCAAGCCGAAGCTCCGCGCTGGGGTACGCAGCTTCTGGCGCAACCTGCATTCCACATCCACATAAAGGTCTCCTGGAGGCCCCAGAAAGCTACTGAAACTGATAGCCCTGGTCACCCTGGCGGCCCCGTTTATCCAACTCTTCCGGCCCACACAGCCCTGCAGGATGTGTGCACGCCTTCGTGCCCTCTTCACTCCCTCAGCCTCACGGAGAAGCCCCCAACCGATCCCATGTTCCAGGAGGCCCCTCCGGAATCATCCAAGATGCCCACCCCATCTCGAGTCCCGCCCCACCGCAGGCAACCAAGAATGATCTCACTGAGTCCCCACCCCACCCCACCCATACCCCGACGCCATGATTTCTGCTTCAACGTCGACCCCCAGCGGTCTCGACCCAGTCCCTGCGGTCGGCTTTCAATCGCGCAGGGGCCCGGCGCGGGCCAGGCGAGACCGAAAATGATACAGAACTGCCGTCCCGTTTGTTCAATACGCACCTAAACCCCCACCCCTTTCCGGGGGGTGGTTGTCCGTGCTGGATGCAGCCCAGTGGTGGGCCCTAGAGGCCGAAATCGAGGAAAAGCGCACGTATTGAAAAACTCGCCGAAGCCCCCCACAAACCAAACGGCACCGATACCGCTACGCCACGGACATCTTCCTGGTTGCGTTCTG